AAAAAAAAACAAAAAAAAACAAAATAAATACAAACAAAATCCATGATGAACAAAATATCAAAATTGTAGATTACACAGAATCAGGAACAGTGCAGTGCTGAGCCATACTAGAGCCCGAGGCAAAAGAAAAATCAGCAGTAGTGATCCTTCTGGTGATTTCCAGTCATCAATATGAACAATTGTCCATTTGAACATTTGCTAACCAGTCAACACACCACATAGTTGTATGTAAGCTGGAAAATAATTCATTTCTTATTCAAGAAATTCCCAAAAGACGTAACAAAGATGAATACCAATAAAATAACTGTAAAACATATTTCCAAACATCTGAATAATTTTTAATTTAATATCTGTCAAAGTTTTCATCTAAATGTTTAGCACTGTAAGATGTAGCTAACAAGAACTACGCGATACAAAAAGTTTCCTAGAAGGGAACATTTATCACTGCTACAGATGCTCTGTGAAATTTATGATTTATATTCTTGAAGAAGGACTTCCCAGGTGCCTCAGTGGTAAAGAATTCATCTTCCAGTTCAGGAGATGTGGGTTCAATCCCTGGATCTGGAAGATCCCCAGAGTAGGAAATGGCAACCCACTCCAGTATTCTTGCCTGTAAAAATCTATGAACACTGGAGCCTGGCGGCTACAGTCCATGGGGTCACAAAAAGTCAAACACAGCTCAGCAACTGAGTACATACGCACGCATTCCTTAAGAAAGGGGAGAAAACAGGTGCACAGATCTTGCCCATAAGGTAAGTAGACAACAAATAATAGTGACTAATACACACTAGTAACACAGGACTTCCTGGGTGGCTCAGACAGTAGAGAACCTGCCTGCAATGCAGGAGACCTGGGTTCGATCCCTGGTTCGGGAAGATCCCCTCGAGAAGAGAATGGCAACCAGCATTCTCCAGCATCCTTGCCTGGAGAATTCCAAGAACAGAGGAGCCTGATGGGCTGTATATAGTCCAGGGAGTTGCAAAGAGTCAGACATGACTGAGCAACTAACACTTTCACTTTCTCTAGTACTATAGTATGATCAGAATGAACTGGATATCAACCAACTTTTTTTTGACAATTCTGAAAATGTCTTTGTAATTAAGGGTGAAATTAAAATTACTTAACACCTAGGTTATGGACATCAGCAAATCATAAAGGATGTTGGTATTAAATAACAGGTAGGCCTGTTCTGAGGTGCATCATCCCAAAATCTGCCCTTCCATAAAGGGTGTGTAATTCAGATATAATGGTAAGAGGGACCTTCTGCTTTTACATTCTGCACATAAAATCTTCAGTTATTTGATGAAATTTTTTATTCTGATATTCATCAGAATCATTTAAAATATGTTAGCAAATATTTTTTGATTCCCATGTTCAAGATGTTCACATACATGTATGTAATTAATTGATAACTATATTCTTTATATACTTTGATAGGCATTTCTGAGTGGCAGACAAATGTAAGGAAATTTTTGTTTGTTTATTTGTTTGCTTTTTGCTTTCAAATCAGTATACTTTATTGTAATAACTATTGTTTTTATATAATTTGGATAATTGAAGTATTAATTTAGACCCCCAAGGGATAAGTGTACCAGGCAAATTCAGTGAATTCTCTTAACCCAGAGTGGTATTTGCATTCCCTTTTTACAGATAGGAAAACTGATGACCTTGAAAGTGGTAGAGTTTGAACCAAAACCCACATACTCTAACTGCTGATCCTGTCCCCTTCATCATATATGTAAAGAAATTCTCTGCAAGTGACAAAGCTTTGTATGAATTATGGACATTTTTATTCCTATTAAAAATGAATATTCTTCTATATATATGAAAATGACTGTGGAAGGTGGCTTACAAAGCTTTGGCTTTACGTAGACCCTCAGTGCTAAAAGACAAGTAATCAGTTGATTGATAGTTGGTTTTGCCTTATTGTTCATTAAAGTCCGAGTCCTTGCTAGTCCCCAGGCAGAGACACATACTTCATTTTTTGCATGCTGGGTTTTAAAATTGTTTTTATCTTCTGAAGAGTGAGTTACCTAAGCCAACCAGCTCTGCCGATGTGGCTTTGTAAAACAAGTGCCTTGCTCAAGTATGCCACTCTATTAGTCCCACATCATTCAAATCCTTTCAGGCTATATGTGACACCTTGGTTGAAGACCTGGTATTTTAGTTATGTTTGAACCATGAGAACCAGACACATAATTGGTGTTCAAGAAAGATGTTTGTCTTCATTTGCTGAACATCTCACTTTCTATAATATCCTCAAGGCCATACAACTTATTATATTTAAAAAATTGCAAGACTCTTACGTTGATGAATTAGAAAACTCCCCATCACTTTCCTTCTCTGGCTCCCCCACCTTTGACCTCCCACCTCCTGCTGGTGTTCTACTGGTTATGGTCCTGGATGCATCTCTGCTTCCTGAAGTGTCAGGAACAGGTCAATGAGTGCCGCTGTGAAAAAGAAGAAAACAGAACGCTTACCACTTCTCAATATTTACTGAAGTGACAACCAAGTAATATTTTGGGGGGTCGAGCTGGGGGGGGAACCACCCGAGTCAGCCCAGGAGACTTGCCAAATGATTCAATTAAATTGGAAATATTAATTTAGTTGAGTGGACATCAATCAGCTTTACTCTGTTGAGTCCAATGTTAATTTTATCGACTCATTTTATGAATCCATTGTTGGTATGAGTCTACAGACTCACTAGCATTTTCATAAAGGTGTCACATTACCTGGGTATACCTCTTTCAATAGTATGTAATTATGGTGAGTAAAGATAACAACTATGTTAAGTGACTTTTTGGGGAGGGATTGTTTTAGAAGGGACAGAATATTCCTATAGAATGAGCAACAGTGACCATTTGCATAAAGGAGCTAAAAAGGAAAAAACAATAGAAAAGAGTAAAAAGAGAAGGCATAGAACTGACACCCAAACAGTGTAGAAAGAAGAGAGTGAAGCAGGTACATGCATATATATTGTATATTTTTAAAACAGAATGTTAAGAATGATGCATGATCAACAGATGGTCACAAAAAATTTTTTGGAAGGATATGGAAAGAAATAATGGTCTTTGAATTTAACCTGGAGAAAATTACTGGTGATTCTATGGAGAGCACTTCTGTTTGTTATAGTGAGAAGACCTAAGGCAGCTGGTAGAGCCATAACAAGTAATCAGTTATCTGCATTTGGAGGTGTCCAATAAGAGGAAACGTCCCAGGGGAAAATGGTAGGACACAAACTGTTCCATCCTCATATGCTTCCAGGGATGTGGTCAATGTCCCTTGCTCCTCTGGGCTCCTGTAGTCTATCCATCTGCAACCTTCATTTGGCACTTAGAACCTGCTGGCTTCTATTGTTCTTTATTTCTCAAAGAGTTGGGCTGCTTCCAAAACAGGCTGCAAGTCCTTTAACAACTGCTTTATACTGTCTGCCACGATGCCTTGTACACAACCACAGGGAAAGCAGTATCAGTAGTTGCTGAGGTAGTAATGATACAAGCAATACTAGGAATAGCTGTTACTATGACTGTGCTAAGCATTTTATATGTTTTATCTCATTTAATCTTCCTGCCAGGGAAGTCGCTCAGTCAGTTCCAACTCTTTGCGACCCCATGGACTACATAGCCTACCAGGTTCCTCTGTCCATGGGATTTTCCAGGCAAGAATACTGGAGTGGGTTGCCATTTCCTTCTCCAAGAGATCTTCTGGACCCAGGCTTTGAACCCAGGTCTCCCACATTGTAGGCAGATGCTTTACCATCTGAGCCAGCAGGGAAGCCCTGCCAGGGTAGCTATTCTTATTATCTATCTTTATCCTCAACTTGAAAGTAAGTCTGCTGAGACTCAAATAGCTTGCTTCTGCTCATAGAGCTTGTAGGTGACAGAGTGGGCATCAAATCCAAGATGAGTTTCAGTGGCAAGCTTTAGTGAGGATGACTTGGGACAGTCTTTTTCTTTCGCTGATATCTAAAATTCTAAGCAATGAGAATTGTATCAAGCTATTCAGAGCAACAAGTTGTTTTGTGTTTGCCACTGCAATCTTAAATTTTCTTGGCTTTATGATTTGTAACCAGTAGCAAAATGGTTTATGTCTGAGAGAAGTTTGAGATCATGGTGTCTCTGGTAAGGTGGTGGGAACCGGGGGGAGGAAGTCTGGAGAAAAAAGCCCTAGATCTCAGCAAGGTTCATAAGCAGCTCAGAGCACATTGTCCTTCAATCAGCCACTCATGGAAACAGCAGAGCCAGAGGGCAGGCAGAGTTGACAGACAAAACACAGAACGCTGAGTTAAATGTGAATTTCAGATAAACAACAAAAGATTTTAGTGTATTTCAGATATAGCATGGATCATCTTAAAATATAAAACACAAATTTGACTGGACAGTCTATGGTTTTATTTGCTAACTCTGACAACCTTAAGGCCTGTGCACATTTGCCCCATCTTTTGAGGTACTGAGAAAATATAGATCTGAAGCATAATCCAGGAAGGGAGGAAGAAAAGGAACATTTCTGTCATTCTTTTGAAAACCAGAACTGCTATCAAGTAAATTTGACCAGCTTCCCTGGTAGCTCGGACAGTAAAGCATCTGCCTATAATGCGGGAGACCTGGGTTCAAACCCCAGGTCCAGAAGATCCCCTGGAGAAGGAAATGGCAACCCATTTCAGTATTCTCGCCTGGAGAATCCCAAGGGCAGAGGAGCCTGGTGAGCTACAGTCCATGGGGTCTCAAAGAGTTGGACACAACTGAGCGACTAAACTTTCACTTTCTTTTCACTTAAAAGAGTTAGTGTTTTTAAGTCTGAATCATATTCATTCAAAATACAGGGAAAAAATTTAACTAAATCATATTGTTCGGTTCTTTTTATTTTTTCTACCTTGATTGATCTTGATTTAGTCACTAAATCGTGTCCGATTCTTGTGATCCCATGGACTCTAGCCTGCCAGCTTCCTCTGTCCATGTGATTTCACACACAAAAAAAACATTTTGTACAATTTCAATCCCTTCCACATGCAATAACTAGGTTTATTAGTTTTATGGGTTCTGCAGGACAAACACCAAACACTGGGCCGTGGTTACAATGTGTGAAATGTGTCCACTCAAGATACTGGGAACCATCTATTTTCTCTCAGCAGTCCCATCTGTCTGGTCTCTGACAGAAAACCACAGGGCCTTTGAACAGCAAAAGGACTTCAGAGGTCACCACGCTAAATTCCATTCCTCTAAAAATGGCTGTTCGTTGTCATGGACAGATGTGTCTACAGATTTGTGGTTCCGTTGAAACTCTGCTTGTGATAATTCAGGTAATCACATTTAGAAAGTTGCGGCTTACTAAAACATGAACTTAGGAAACAAATCTGGTCCCTGACCCAGTCTCAGCAGATTGTAGTCAGTACCCAGGCACCTACACACACTGGTAGGATGTGGGGAGCTTGGATGCATCGCACAGTTTCCAGGGGCTGCAGTTCCCGCAGGTCAAGAACTTGGACTCGCTTTCCTTTCCTCCCTCTCATCGCCCTCCGCCTCCTTCTCTTCTCAGCAATCCTCCTCAACTCTCTCAGCTTTCGACACATTGGGTGCGACGCTGTGATCCGCCTCTGGGAGTCATAGTGCCAAGTTCCTCCTAGAATGAGAGAGAGATTCTGGTTAGTCTAAATATTCATATTATAGAAATATTTCAGAGGGACAAAGAATCATAGAAGGCAATCCATATTTCTTAATTCATCAGAAAATATCTTTCTACTTAAAGTTTAAGAGCAAATTACTTTCTTAAGAGTAAATTCACTTTTTAAAAAGTAAATTGCTTTCTTCACCTTTAGGAATTAAGAAAGTATTACTTGATACGAGAGGGCATGGCAACCCACCTCAGTATTCTTGCCTAAAGAATCATCATAGATGGAGGAGCCTGGTGGGCTGCTGTCAACAAAGTCACAAAGAGTGAGACACAACCGGAGCAGCTTAGGACAGCATTGTAAAAAGCGTGATTTCATCCCGAGGTTCTCCATTATGTCAATCTAAAGAGCTTATGAAAGGTTATGTTCCCAATCAAAATGTCAGTCCTCTGAACTTCCTTATATGTTATCCTTCTAAATGAACCCCATTGAAAATGAAGTAATTTTCATCTCATGAAACTAGGTTCTCAGTTCAGTTCAGTTGCTCAGCCATGTCTGACTCGTCGCGACCCCATGGACTGCAGCACGTCAGGCCTCCCTGTCCATCACCAACTCCCAGAGTTTACTCAAACTCATGTCTGTTGAGTCGGTGATGCCATCCAACCATCTCATCCTCTGTTATCCCCTTCTCCTCCTGCCTTCTAGCTTTCCCAGCATCAGGGTCTTTTTCAACTAGGTTCTAGAAGGAACATTTAAAACATGAGACAAATCTCTTTAAGATTTGATAACTCAGTCATATCTCTGGTATCAAAGGGAAATGTTAAATCACTATTATTTCCATTGGTTATCCATTTTAGAAGAAAAATAACAAGACATAACTGACTATCAAACTGAGGAAAAAAAAAAAAACAACCTTAAAACTCAGACTATAAATACCCACTTAAGTAGAAAAATAATGTTCAACTGAATTTCAGTAAAGGATTTCAATTGTTTGTGATGTATGACAATGTTTCTAAAAATACATGTATGTGACTATAAACACTTGCTTCTAAGACTTTTTTTGTCCTCTCACAATTTTACTGTTTTAAAGAGAAGTTATGCTGCTGTCTAGGTTATAGGGTTGATGAAATGACATATTTTGAAACCGTCTAAGTTTTTACTTTGGAAAAATAATAGTGTGCTGGGGTTCAGTTCAGTTCAGTCCCTCAGTCGTGTCTTGACTCTTTATGACCCCATGAACTTCAGTATGCCAGGCCTCCCTGTCCATCACCAACTCCCAGAGTCCATCCAAACCCATGTCCATTGAGTCAGTGATGCCATCCAACCATCTCATCCTCTGTTGTCCCCTTCTCCTCCTGCCCTCAATCTTTCTCAGCATCAGGGTCTTTTCAAATGAGTCAGCTCCTCCCATCAGGTGGCCAAAATATTGGAGCTTCAGCTTCAACATCAGTCCTTCCAATGAACACCCAGNAATTTAGCACAATACCAGGAATGTCATGGATTCTGAGCATGAAATTTGTTTTTACATACATGTGTTTTTTATCATAAACTGAATAATTTTGATATTATTTTTGCCTACAAATTGGCTGTAGCTTACACTTCACTTTACATTTCTTTTAGAGGGAGAAAAAAACAGCATAGAACATTGCAGGACTCTTGAGCATTAAATAAGGAATCAGTACTTATTTTCCAGCGTCCAGCACCTGATGACCCAACTTGTAGATGAGTTTGAGCTCTTGCTGTTCTACTCCAGCACCTGCTTTGAAGTTATAAATTTCTCATTAATATCTCCATTGGATGGAATAAGGAAAAATACCAACACAAAATATCTTTTCCTGTTTCTTTTAAAGTACAAATATTAGACACAGTAGAAGCTGCTATAAAATGATGTTATTAAACTATATAGAATTTTTAATTGACATTTTTATTAAAGTAAAACACAACTGAACAACTACTATGAATGAACTAGGCTAGGTGCAATGAAGAATATCATGTGGAAGGAAGGACTTGGATGAAACTCAAACAGAAAACTGCTTCTGAATTTTACTAACTTAGACTTATCGATAATCAGGAGTGGACTCCTTTGGCCTCTTTTATGCTCTCTGTATGTCTGTGAATATCTCTATGTTACACATGCATTTGAGTGTGTGTCTGTACGTCTATGCTGCTGCTGCTAAGTCGCTTCAGTCGTGTCCGACTCTGTGCGACCCCATAGACAGCAGCCCACCAGGCTCCCCCATCCCTGGGATTCTCCAGGCAAGAACACTGGAGTGGGTTCCCATTTCCTTCTCCAATGCAAGAAAGTGAAAAGTGAAAGTGAAGTCACTTAGTCGTGTCCGACTCTTAGCGACCCCACAGACTGCAGCCCACCAGGCTCCTCCGTCCATGGGATTTTCCAGGCAAGAGTACTGGAGTGGGGTGCCATTGCCTCTTCCTTTATGTCTGTAGGTCATACTTGTTCCAATGTTGTGCCTCCAGATTAAGTTACATGACGGAATAAGTTCATAGCAGGTGCTACCACCCAACCTAGCTATTCTTCTCAGTACAGTAAGTAGAAAGTGATGAGTTGCAGAATTCTCCCTAGCCCCATATTCAATATTTATATCCAGTGCTATCACAGAAATTATATGTATAAAAATGCAGATTGCTGAATTATTGACATCATTTCTGTTAACTTAATGTGACATATTTGTAAATTACAAATAGTTTTCAAAAGACCAGAATCAGTTAGGCTAATTGATACATTATACAAACTGTATAATTGATTTTTAAAATGAATTGGTCTCTGAGTTTTGAGTGTTCTATAATAGTTGATTTCTAATAAGTACAAATAAATGAGTGATTAATGAATTTATAGAGAAAGCAGTTGACAATTCTTTAGTTCACCTGAAGAAAAAAAAGTATATTGGTGCAGAAAGTCCAGTAGAATGCTTAGCATTAAAGTCAGAATGTCATGCTACAAACTGAAAATTTTAGATTGCAATGAAAAATGTCTGTCACTCATCCTTTGACTGTGAATGCAGGTGGTCACCTATTTTAATAAATAAAATGCATTATTTACTTTAGATTTAAGGTTAATTTAGTTATGCATTGTAAGGACTAAGAAGTTCCAAATACTTAGGTTCCTAGTGTTGATCTCAGTGATTGAATGAAGAGGTAGCAGTTTCTTTTACAGCAGAAAAATGTTCGCTCAGGAGAAGATATTTACAAAAGCACATTAAATAATGAGTGCATTGGGGTTGTTTTTCAAGTTGATTGGGAAGGACACTCTCTTTTAAGTAGAGATATATGAGTGCATATAGTAGACCTCATGGTCACTGGCCAAATGTTAATGTTCAGCACTTAGCATCTCTGGCTCAGACCCAGTCTTAGCATCTCAGGATCTGTTAAGTTGTTCTTTCTTCTAAAAGGCATTTGGCACTTGAGAGCAATTCTGACATCTTTGTGCAAATGGAAACTGTAAGTCAGAAAACACAGAAGTAAATAAGTGGGACTTTTGCATCGATATTAGGGATACCTCTGCTGTGACATTCACAAATGTCAAAATGGCATACAACTGGCAAGGAAGCTGTGTTTGTAGTTGGCACTGTAAAGCCAATTCCTCCTCCTTTGGGCTCTCAGGACTCTGATTTCCTGCTGAGGGCTTGCCCTCTGTGTCATCGGGTACAGCTGGGCGGTGCTATCAGGCCTTCCTGGTGGCTCAGCTGGTAAAGAGTCCGCATCAGTCAAGGAACCCCCATCCTCCCTTCATCCAAGTGGCAAGCACTGGACCAGAGTTCTCTCCCTAAAATATAACTCAGGGCAGCGAATGAATATGTTTGGATGGGGTTCATTCCTACCACAGTACCTGGCGAAGACTGTCATAACTGCTGTGGTGATTCTGAGTCCCTTGAAGCTGCCTGGCTCCTGTCCTTTCTCTGCCTGGTTTTCAGCCTTTTTTGATACTGAAATTTTCCCATAATCTTGCAATAAATTGTTTTTTTCTTTTTGAAAGTGAAAGTGAATGTCGCTCAGTCGTGTCTGACTCTTTGCCACCCCATGGACTGTAGTCCATGGAATTCTCCAGGCCAGAATACTGGAGTGGGTACCCTTTCCCTTCTCCAGGGGATCTTCCCGACCCAGGAATTGCACCAGAGTCTCCTGCATTGCAGGCAGATTCTTTACCAACTGAGCTATCAGGGAAGCCCTTTTTTCTTTTCAAGTTAGCCAAATACTGCTGACACCCCAAAACTCCAACTGACAGGATTTCCTACTTTTTGGTTAGTTTGAGGTCACCCCAAGGACTGTAGCTCACCAGCCTCCTTTGTCCATGAAATTCTCTAGGCAAGAATAATGTGTAACCATTCCCTCCTCCAGGGGATCTTCCTGATCCAGTGATCAAACCTGAATCTCCTGCATGGCAAGCAGATTCTTTACCATCTGAGCCACCAGGGAAACCCTAAAGAATAAATAGGAAAAAACCAACAAATATTTAGTAACTAGTCTGTGGTAGCATAATTAATCACTGGTCCAGGAAGGAAAAGAGAGTCATATGAGATTAATACAATTAAAAGCATTCTTTTCAAATACTGCATTCTCCATCCTAATCTACATATCTTCATATATATGTATATGCATATATATGTCATATATAAATATATATATATGGGGCTATTCAAGTAACACTAGTGGTAAAGAATTCTCCTGCCAATGCAGGAGATGCAAGAGATATGAGCACTCCATCCCAGTATTCTTGCCTGAAAAATTCCATGGGCAGAGGAAGCTGGTGGGCTACAGTCGATAGGGCTGCAAAGAGTCAGAAATGAGTCATATTTATATATGAATAAGACATGTATATACATATCTATATATGACACATATATGACTTGAGCTTATATGTCATATATAAATATGAAAATTTCACATTAGATTATAAAATTCTCAAGGCTTTCTGTGCTACATAAAAGTAAGTTTTCAGTTTCACTCACCATTCAATCTTCCCTCTTGCAACTGAAATATCTAGTTTTCCCAA